CTTGGCGGTGGGAGAGAAAGTGTCGAAGAAGTCGACAGCGTAGCGCTGGGTGAAGCCCTTGGCGACGTAGCAGGCCTTGTAGACCGGCGGCTCGCCAGGCAGCTGCTTCACTCGAAACACTCACTTCCCTTTGACCCCGTTCGTGGTAGAGGGAGGGCGGGGCACATCCACAAAGGAGGAGTTGGCAGTAAACGCCTCCAACTCCTTGAGGGTGGCGGCGAGCCAGAGGTGGGCGTCAGGGCACGCCATGGCCTTCTCGTACGTGGCGGGGATGAATATGGTGGGGACGGAGGAGAAGGCGAAGACTGGTGTGCCGGTGAGGTCAGGGGAGATGGGTAGGAGGGCTGGATCATGTACGTGGAGGTTGAGGAACTCCTCATGGGAGTCCTCGAGGAGGGAGGAGTGGAAAATGAATGGGAGGACTGCAGTTGCTGCTGCTGCTGCTGCGGAGGATGCATCTGCTGCTGCTGTTGTTGAGGCGGCTGCTACTGCTGCATCTGCTGCGGCCGCTGCTGCTGCTGCGCGTGAAGGTGAGGAAGGAGCGTCGGCTGCTGCTGTTGGTGCTTCGGCGGTGGGTGGGACTGCTGCTTCAGCTGCTGGGGCTGATGTAGTGGAGCTCGATGGCAAGGTTGGGCTAGTGTGTTGTTGTAAGACAGCCTGAAAGAGGTCCATGAGAGGGGAGAGAGGAGGCAAGGTAGAGGAAGAGAGGGTAACAGGAGGCGGGGCACCTAGACTGCGTCACGTGACCTGGTGTGGGGATACCGGGTGAGGATGGAGCGGGTGGGACGCAAGGGGGGAGGGGGACGCGGGGGAGAGGGGGGAGGAGGGGAGGGGGGAGGATGGGAGGGAGCAGAGGGGGAGGAGTGGGACGGGGAGGCGGGGGGGAAAAGAGGGTCAGGGTCAAAGATGTCACCAGAGGAGGGGGGAGCGCTAGGGACCGAGGCGGCGGGGAGGGGAGGAGGTGGAGCGGGGGGGAGGATGGGAGGGGGAGGGAGAAGAGGGGGGGGGTAGCGTCGGACCAGGTGAGGGGCCTGGGAGCAGGGACGAGAGGGTCAGTGGGGGGAGGAGTGGAATAGTAGGGTGTGGACTCATCAAAGACCACATCCCGACTGCGGAGGAAACGACCTGAGGGGGGGTGAAGGAAGAGTTAGTCCGGGGAGGAGGGGTTATGACCAAGGAAGATGCAGGGGAGGGTACGGGAGGCGAGCTTTCCCATGGTGCGGGTGGCGTGAAGGAGGGCATAGCCCCATAGAGAAGGGGGGCAAGAGGCATGGACGAGGAGACACCGAGCAATCTTGGTGATCTCCCGAACACGGCTCTCTGCCACACCATTCTGCTGGGAGGAGTGGGGGAGCGTGTGAGTCTGGCGAATGCCATGAAGCTCACAGTAGGAGGCTATCTGGCGGTTAAGGAATTCGCCACCGCCATCAGAGTGAAGGCGGCGGAGAGGGCGGCCAAAGTGGGTGCTCGCCTGCTTGAGCCAGACGATGATCGCAGCCGGAGCGTCACCCTTTGAGCGAAGAAGGGAGACGGAGGAATATCGGCTGTGATCATCGACCAGAACAAGCATGTAGCGATGGCCCTGGCGGGAAGGGGAGGGGTTGGGGCCCCAGAGGTCCATGTGAACAAGATCAAGCGGCTGAGCAGCAGCGGAGGGGGAACTCCGATGCGGCAGCTGTTTGAGTTTGCTCTGGACACAAACGGGGCAAGGTGGGGCAGGGGAAGGAGGGAGGGGAGGGAGGGTGAGGGGAAGACCTCGAAGGAGACCTGAGGAGACGGTCGAGCGGAGGGTGGCAAAGTTGGGGTGACCAAGCCTGTGGTGGAGGAGGATGGTGGGATGGGAGAGGGATCGACAGGAGCAAGTTGGGTCAGGGGGGAGGGGGGGAATGGTTGGGTTAGAAGGAGGGAGAGGAGGGGGAGGGATGTGAGGTGGGGGGAGGGAGCGGGAGACTGCGTGGGCAGAGGGAAGACGAGGAACCCGAAGGGTATATAGGCGGGAGCGAGGACAAAAGGGAATACGGGAGAGGAGGCGACCTGTGGGATGGTATAGGAGGCAGTGATTAGCGCGACCTGGGAAGACAGTGGTGATACCGGCCTGCTGCAGGGATCGGTGGGAGAGGAGGTTAGTACGGAGGGAGGGGATGTGTAAACGAGTGACGGTACCTGAGGGGAAGAGGGGACAGGGGAGGGTAGAGGTGTGGCGACAGGGAATAGAGAAGCTGGAATCGGCACCAAGGAGGGAGGTGGGGGCTGGGAGAGGGTGAAGGGTACCAGCATCACGAAGGACGGACTCGGTGGCTCCACTGTCAAGGACTAAGTCCAGCGTGGTGGAAGAAGGAGGATGTGGGAGAGGAGGTGGGACAGAGTACTGAATCACATTCTCATTAATAGCAGCCGAATACATGGAAGGGTTAGGGGTTCCAGCCTGACTAACCATGCCAACAAAACCAGAGGAGGGGAAAGGAGTCACACTGCCTGTGGCTGAGGGCGCGGGAGACGCGCCCGAGAGGTGAGCTGCGAAAGCGGCGGTGCCGGCGGTCCAAGCGGGGTAGGGCTGCTGGGGGGGAGCCATAGGAGGAGGTGCAAGGGGGAGCTGCGACTGGAGGTCAAGCTGCTGCTGGAGCTGCTGCTGCAGCTGGGAGAAGAGGTGCTGCTGCCCCTGCTGCTGCTGCTGCTGCTGCTGCTGCTGCTGCTGCTGGAACTGCTGCTGCTGAAACTGCTGCGGCAGGATCTGCTGCGGAGTCTGCTGCTGCTGCTGTTGCTGAGAGACGGCCTGGTGAGCCAAGGGGGAGGAGACGGGCTGGTAGGGAGGGGAGGTACGAACCTCTTGAGGAGTGGGGCGAGGGGAGAGAGAGGACCAGGGGGGGGGGGTGCCGGTGTTGCCGCGGGCAAACCACTCATCACTGAGCGCTTTGAAGCAATAATCAGTGGCATGAGTGGTTTGGCCGCAGCGCTGACCCCGCGTGGGGCCATAGCGAGGGAGATACTGACAAGGAGGAAAGGCGGCTGCTGCACCACGTCCTGCACCACTGCCACCACGACCCGCACCACCACCACGATCAGCACCACGATTAGCACCACGCCCACCGCCACGCCCTCCCTTGGTGTTGCGCTGATGAGCGACCGCAGCAGTGGAGGAGGAATGGCGCAAGAGGTCGGCCTCAGTGGTGATGATCCACTGGGCGACCTCAGCAGGGGTGATGCGCTTGTCGATAAGGTGCATGTAGGCGATCTTGTGGGTGTCGAAGGCAGGAGTCAAGCCTTCAAGGAGGTGGCAGCAGAGCACTGGGTCCGGGTACGGGACGCCAAGAGCCGCCAGATGACGAGCGAGGTCGAAGACGCGACGAGTGAGGCCGCTGCGCCAGTGGTGGAGTCCATAGTGAGGCTCTGAAACTCCTTGATGAGGGAGTAGAGGGTGGCGACGTCCTGCCGATCATAGAGATCGGTGAGGAGCCGCCAGAGGTGGGAGGAGGAGGTGGGAGCAAGCTCCCGCTTGAGGGTGGGAGGAATGGTGGCGAGGAGGATGGTGAGCGCACGGCGGTCAGCGACACGCCAGGCGGCGAGGTCGGTGGTGTAGGAGCGCTCACGCCTGGCGTACTCCGCGAGTGCCACCTGGTATGTGGTGTAGGCGGCAGTGGCGGCGTCATGCTCGGCGCGGGAAGCCTCGTAGAGTAGCTGCTGGCGGACGTGGTCGGTGAGGCCAGCACGGTAGGTGCGGATGGCGGTCTCCGAGCTCTGAGGGTCGTTGACGTCAGGGGCGAAAGTTGGAGGATCGCCGGGGCTGACGGGAGCATTGCCAGGAGGAGGAGGTGCAGGGCCCGCGGGAGCATCCGGTTGGGCAGGCTGAAGACCGCGCTCCTCGAGGTGGACAACGGCTTTCAGGTTGTAGCCGTTGACCGTCACCGAGGAGAGAAGCACCGTGACGGTGTGGGCATAAGAATGCCAATTGGCCGCGGTGTTGTGGGGCAGCAGCTCAAGAGAGTCGACGGAGGTGAGGTCCACCGAGGAATCGGACGCCATGGAGGAGGAGGGGGGGGAAGGAAGGGGAAGAGGAGGAAAAAAAGAGAGGAGGAGAAGGAGGAGGAGAAGGAGGAGGAGAAGGAGGAGGAGAAGGAGGAGGAGAAGGAGGAGGAGACCGAGGAGGAGGAGGAGGAGGAGAAGGAGGAGGGAGGAAAAGAGTAGGTGCGCGGAGCGCAGCTCTTAAGTCGCCGAAGGCGGATGCGACGCGCTCCAAGGAGAGATGCGGCGACAGACGGCCGCGCGCGGTTGGCGGAAGCGACGACGGACAGGCGCAACGGAAGGGAGAGCGGGCGCGATAGGAGGCGCGCGACGGGAGAGAGAGCGTGCGCGATGGGAGACCGCGTCGGGAGAGGCAGGCACGGGCATCCTTGGACGTGGCAGGCACGGGCATGCTTGGACATGGCAGGCACGGGCATGCTTGGTGTTGTAATATATGATTATATACACCATGCATGAATAGAATAAGAGGTGTAGACATTTAAGTTATTGGGGGGTTGTTGGTTGGGATCACCAACCACAATTTTGTCGGTCAAGATTGGATTTGGCCTTGGTCCTTTGGTTGGCACTTTCCAACCGAATGGTCCCAAGGCTCCACCAATCAGCAACCACCACACTTTGGGGTTGCTTCCCCTCCAAGCTACCTCTCCCATCGGCCACTATTGTAGCCAATACGAGTGCCTTCCGTTCCAACTTTTCCTTGCTCCTTGGTTGTACTATAGAGCCTCTTGGCTTCCTTTCTAGTTAACACTTTTCTCTTTAATGTTACTTCTCTCACTTGGGACATGGCAGGCACGAGCATGCTTGGATGTTCCCCCTGAAAGCTCTCCCTTGCCATCGCTGGGCATCTCGAGTTCACGGCATGCACCAACTGCTCCACTGCCTTCTTGCAATCCCCTCTGCAATTCTCTATCCCATTTTCCCACCCCGCTTCTCCCCGGGACCCTCTCCCCTCCCCCGCCCCCTCCCCCGGGTGTCGTCAGGTTCATAGCGGTGGGCGACCTGGAGGCGGCGGTGACGCTGCTGCTGGCCACGCCCTTCGACTCCCCCGCCTTCCACGCGGACGCCCTGCGCGCTGTCGCTCTCGCCACCGCCGTGTCGCCCGCCATGCACCACCTGGCCGCCAAGGCAAGCCACCATGCATGCACCTCTCTCACTGCCCTCTCACTGCCCTCTCACTGCCCTCTCACTGCCCTCTCACTGCCCTCTCACTGCCCTCTCACTGCCCTCTCACTGCCCTCTCACTGCCGTCTCACTGCCCTCTCACTGCCTCTCACTGCCCTCTCACTGCCCTCTCACTGCCCTCTCACTGCCCTCTCACTGCCCTCTCACTGCCCTCTCACTGCCCTCTCACTGCCCTCTCACTGCCCTCTCACTGCCCTCTCACTGCCCTCTCACTGCCCTCTCACTGCCGTCTCACTGCCCTCTCACTGCCTCTCACTGCCCTCTCATTGTGCCCTCCGCTGCCCTCTGACTGCGTGCAGGTGGTGGCGACGAACATGGTGCTGGCAGGCGAGCCCCTCACTGCCGTGCACCTGCTGTGCTCCGTGGGGCAGTATGCCGACGCCTGCACCCAGGTGCGCTCATGGGAGGGCCATGTGTGTACCCAGGGTGTTGGTGCATGCACCCAGGTGTGCTGGTGCATCCGTCCAGGTGTGTTGTTCCATGCACCCAGGTGTGCTGCTGCATACGTCCAGGTGTGTTGGTGCATGCACTCAGGTGTGTTGGTGCATGTGTTAGAATATCCTACTACATTCACTAGTCTACATAGATTTGTTTGTCTTGAGTAGAGTTAAGCACTCCACTACTATTAGGGTGTAATAATCCTAATTGGAGGTTGGGTTCCCAACTTGGTTGGGTTTCCAATTTGGTTGGGTCCACAACTATTTGGGATCCCCAGTAATTCCGACCACAATTATTGGACCACCAATAATCCCAACCAGAATTATTGGTGGGGGCCAATAATCTTGGCCAACTCCCAACCAACCCTCCCTTCCTCCCTTTCGTCACATTCCTATGTAAACCCTTGTGCTTTCCCTCTAATCAACTTTTCTAAGTTCACATTTTCTCACAGCATGCACTCAGGTGTGTTGGTGCATGCACTCAGGTGTGTTGGTGCATGCATCCAGGTGTGTTGGTCCATGCACCCAGGTGTGCTGCTGCATGCGTCCAGGTGTGTTGGTGCATGCACTCTGGTGTGTTGGTGCATGCACTCTGGTGTGTTGGTGCATGCACTCAGGTGTGTTGGTGCATGCACTCAGGTGTATTGGTGCATGCACTCAGGTGTATTGGTGCATGCACTCAGGTGTGTTGGTGCATGCACTCAGGTGTGTTGGTGCATGCACTCAGGTGTATTGGTGCATGCACTCAGGTGCGTCCATCTTTCCTCTGCCTGCATTCCCTTGCCTGCAACCCCTTGCCTGCAACCCCGCCCATCAGCTGCAAGCCATTGGTCGATGGGTCGACGCTTCAACTCTTGCCGCCTGCCACCTGTCAGGCGCTGATAGGGCCAAGTGAGCTCCCATCCCATCCGTCCTTTTTTTGCTGTCCCTCTTATCCCCAGCCATCGTATCCACTGCCCCACTCTCACTCCTCACTCGCATGCATCCTTCCGTGACTTGCATTCGCCCCCCCTGTGCTCCCCTTGCATTCGTTCCCACTCTAAGCCCTTTTCTCGTTGTCCCAGCCATTCTCATGCCACTATTATTGACTGTTTCCTGCGGTGCCCACATCAATCGCCTACCATCCACCCCTGGGATGGCATGGTATGGCATGGCACGGGTGTCGTGCAGAGTGCTCCATCGCTGGGCACAACACACTCTCAGGAACGAGCATGACCTGTGGAGGTGGGTGGTGGCCCGTGGAGGTGAGTGGTGGCCTGTGGAGGTGGGTGGTGGCCTGTGGAGGCGAGTGGTGGCCTGTGGAGGTGAGTGGTGGCCTGTGGAGGTGAGTGGTGGCCTGTGGAGGTGAGCGGTGGCCTGTGGAGGTGAGTGGTGGCCTGTGGGGGTGAGTGGTGGCCTGTGGAGGTGAGTGGTGGCCTGTGGAGGTGAGTGGTGGCCTGTGGAGGTGAGTGGTTGCCTGTGGAGGTGAGTGGTGGCCTGTGGAGGTGAGTGGTGGCCTGTGGAGGTGAGTGGTGGCCTGTGGAGGTGAGTGGTGGCCTGTGGAGGTGAGTGGTGGCCTGTGGAGGTGAGTGGTGGCCTGTGGAGTGAGTGGTGGCCTGTGGAGTGAGTGGTGACGTGTGGAGATGAGTGGTGACGTGTGGCGATGAGTGGTGACGTGTGGAGATGAGTGGTGACGTGTGGAGATGAGTGGTGACGTGTGGAGATGAGTGGTGACGTGTGGTGGAGGTGAGTGGTGAAACTGGAGGTTGGTGGTGGGATGTGGAAGCAAGTCATTTCAACGGATACAAGCTGCTGGTCGCTGGTAGGTGTTGGTCGCTGGTAGTTGTTGGTCGGTGGTAGGTGTTGGTCGCTGGTAGTTGTTGGTCGGTGGTAGGTGTTGGTCGCTGGTAGTTGTTGGTCGGTGGTAGGTGTTGGTCGCTGGTAGTTGTTGGTCGGTAGTAGGTGTTGGTCGCTGGTAGTTGTTGGTCGCTGGTAGGTGTTGGTCGCTGGTAGTTGTTGGTCGGTGGTAGGTGTTGGTTGCTGGTAGTTTTTGGTTGCTGGTAGGTGTTGGTCGCTGGTAGGTGTTGGTTGCTGGTAGTTGTTGGTCGGTGGTAGGTGTTGGTCGCTGGTAGTTGTTGGTCTGTGGTAGATGTTGGTCGCTGGTAGTTGTTGATTGGTGGTAGGTGTTGGTCGGTGGGAGCTGGCTAATTTTGAATTGCACGTATTTCCCAAGATAGAGGAATTTGGGCTGGTAACCCTAATCGAACTAAGGTCTGTTCAGCTTAGGGCAAACATCATAAACGAACCTAAGCGTTGACCGAATTTAAGGTTGGAAACAAGTATATTGAGCAGAGGTAACAGTGCGTATAACAGTACGGACAATGGGGCGTGGTAAGAAGATGATAAGACGTGGTGCAGTGCCTGAGGGGCATGGTGCAGATACAATGGGGCGTGGTGTGGATAACGCATTCCCCCATTTCCCCCTTTCTCATGCTGGCACCCCCCCCCTCCACCTCTTCCCCCCCCAGGGCGGTGACGCTGTACGTGGCGGCGGGCAGTCTGACGGCAGCGCTGCGTGCGCTGAGGGAGGCCCACCAGCCCGACACCGCCATGATGCTGCTGCTCGCCTGCCACCAGGCCGCCAACCGCCTCGCTGCGCCGCCCCGCCGCCTCGCTGCCAGCACCACCGCGCCTGTGGCCATCGGAAGGCATCTGCCAGCCGTGGGGGCAGGAGAGGGGCATGCCGGTGCAAAGAATGGTGCAGGGGGGGAAAACGAAAAGGGGGAGGGAGGGGAGGGAGGGGAGGGAGGGGAGGGAGGGGAAGGAGAGGAGGGAGCGGAGGGAGTGGATGGGCAGTTGTGGCTACCGGGTGACTTGAGGACTCAGGGGGAGGAGGAGGTGCAGGTGGTTTGTGGGCTGTTCTCACAGCACCAGCGGTGGCTGGCTCACTTGTGTGCTCCGCATGATGCTGAATGATTCTTTGTCTACTTCCTCTCATCCATAAGGGCAACGCCTAGGGGGCTTAATCACCGTAATCCCCCGGATAATGGACCCGCCGGTAAGAAAGTCCATGGGTCCTTTACCCGGGGGTGGGATCATTTATTTTGGCAGACCCCGTGAGGACCCGCTTTTTGGCATTTAACATTTTAGGACCCCCCAGCTGTGTTTTCTTGTAAGATTTTGCATGTAAGAATAGAAACTGCTGCTGATGCTTTTACTGTACGGTTGGTGCTGGCAGCAGGTTGGTGCTGTGTGTTCTTACGAGCCTCTTCCCAGCCTCCTCTTCACCATATTCGGCCCTCGACTTAGAGCTTGTTCGAACGGATTTCCAATCCAATTCGTTTCAGAATCGTGTTATTAATGGTCAATGAATCGGCTCGCGTCAATCTCGCAATGTACAGATTTGCGATCATCTGGAAAATTCGCGCCTGAAATCAGGTTTGGAAACACACCTTGAATCTCGATAATTCCAACCGTGCGTCACACTCGGAAGCGAACTAAACTGCTTCGCGTCACAATTACGCGACACTGTAGCGAGAAAGTAGGCCGCAGGAACACGCTCTAGCACCGTGGGTGACGGCAGTCAAGAACCATCGCGCCACGCCAACACACGAAATTTGACGTGTCATTTTGGTGGTACGGAAAGATGACGACAAGAGGGTTCTGTTGCCGCGGTACAAATATAACTCCCTATGTAGAAAGGCCTTATATCCAGCACAATAGACACTTCCGTATAAAATATCTGAACATGGGTCCTAATAATTTCCATCCACGTTAATGTCCACCTTGACACCTTTTCCTGTAATTCTAAGAAGACCATAGGGTCCAATAGCCGGGGGATTACGGCAGGTTAAAGCCCGCGGCTAAAATAGCAGACCTGGAAACCACTTGAATTTGGTGCTTTGAAATCCGTCTAAGAGCATGTTCCTACCAGCCTCTTCCCAAGCAACCTCTTCCCAGACTCGCGTGCTACAGTGTCGCAAATTTTGACGCGAAATGCTTCAGTGCGATTCCGGGAAGTGCAGAGTGAGAATCGCCTTCCCGAGATTCAGGGCGTGTTTTAAAACCTCTTTTTAGACGAGCAGATTTTCAGACGCGCACGAATCGGCACAGTTAATTTTCGACGCCAGCTGGTTTTATGTGGTTGAGAGCGGTGGAACGCAAATATGAAACGTGAATATTCCAAAAAGTGATCCTGAGAACACGCTCTAAGGAAGAGGCTCTCACGAGGAACAGGCTCTAAGGAAGAGAACACGAGGGATTTTAGGTGGGGTGGCGTAGGCCCTTTTACTCGTTCTGTACACGATGGGTGCCTTGGCGTATTGGCCACTTGGGCCAGGTTACCAGCGATTTCGCCGCGTGTCATGTGAGGCCTCATGTGGCCTCTTAAAAAACGCTCAGCGAATTTGTCGTCTGGTCAGAAATGTTGTGATAAAGTCGTACTTAAGCATTTCTGTAAGTAGTTCCGATAGGTATTGTCGAGTTACACTGTAGTTAGCATCCGTAGAATGACGTCAGCAAATAGCGCTCGCCTGGATGATTACGTCAGCAAGCCGTTTCAGTCACGCGAACAGTCGCGCTCTTTTCAGTAGCAGTTAGAGCGCATAGCGCAAATAACTCGAACAGGTACATTACCGAATAGGTACTTCTAGCAAATATAAAAGTAGCAAATGGAACAACAGAGTTTTCTTCATGCTTCACTCAGCGCTTACACCGTCCTTAACCGCAATCTGTCGCTGAAAGAGCAGCTTGGTATACGCTCTCTTCACACCAGTTTGACTCTAGCAGAATCTGCGTGGAAGCATTTGAAGGGAATATACATGGCACAGGATACAGTTTCCGTGAGTAAAATTCTCTCACAATTGACAACTGTACAGATGCAGGGCAACGAGAACGTTTCGGATTATATCAACAGGGCTCGAACACTTCGTGACCCATTGAAAAAGTGCGGCGGATACTTTCCAAAGGACATGTTTGTAACAGTCCTTCTTGCCGATCTTGGAGCAGAATGGCGGCAGTGTCGATCTCTTCTTCGTCTTCAACCAAATCTTTCGGAAACATAAATTTGCTCAATCCTTCAAGCAGAGCAGCAAGATCTTGACCTGCAGACAACATGTAACAAAATGGGAGCAGTCAACATCAGTTTTTATTCAACGCCCACGAAACGTGTCAACAAGTTCTTCTGTCACTACTGCAAAAAGGATGGACACTGTATAAAATTCTGCAACAAGCTTCAAGCTTATAGGAAAAGAGAGGAGCAGCAGCAGTTGCAGCAGTTCAAGCAACCCGTGAACCAGAATCCACCAACAACTCTTGCAAAATCAGGAAAAAGTGTTTTCAGCTACGTTACATCAATTGATGCAACAGACTCAGATTTCGATGATGAAGGCGACGAAAACTTCATTGAGCAACCTGAGAACATGATTTTACCTCAAGTATATGCTAATATTGCTCGGGTTATTGCAGGACCAAACACTTGGTATCTTGGCAGTTGTTGTGGACAACACATGTGCTCTGCCAAGACGCTCTTCATTACTCATCAGCGTCCGCTTCGACGTCCAATACCTGTCACAGTCGCAAATGGACAAACCATTATGGCAAGGTCAATCGGCAGCGTCATGTTGGATTCCGTGGACACATGGTTTTCCTTACATGTTACGAATGTCCTTATCGTCGAGGGACTTGGCTTTAATCTTCTTTCAACGGCTCAACTCCTGCGACATAAGATCACGACACAAGGCAATTGTGAGATGATGGACCAGAAACTTTATCATAATGATACAAACACTTACATAAGGAGAGCCGCCACTCAGTATGGGGTCTCCGTTCTTCAATTCGAGTCGCAAGGGACTTCTGGATCTTCTAAGAGAGTGTTATCTCTTGGACCTTGGCAACATCCCGAAGAAACTGATTTTCAGAATGTTGACATTGACTTCCGTGCAAGTGCACTTCCAACAGGATCACGTACAGCAGCAGGGGTTATAACGGCTCTTGATTCCTGGCCAACAAACACAGCCGAGGAAGATACATCAGCATGGAGGAATTACTATGACACTTTACCACAACCTGAAAATAAACCTACAATACCTTGGGGACCCAGCAGCAGCAGTGAAGCAGAGGAAGCCGAGCAGCAGAGTAGTGGTGAAGCAGAAACAAGGATTCTCGTCGATCAACCTGCAGCAGATTCAACAGAAACAGAAATTGAGGAAGGGGAATTAGTTCTTCAACCGGAAGAAGTTCTCGATGTGGAAATTACAACCACGAAGTTACCTTTTGCGCGCTTCGTTCCTGGCCAACTCGACAAATCACCAGCGTTTTCTCCTTTCATCATCTCTTCATTTTATACTAACACTGATTTTTATTTGCGATCAATAGGACACAAAGCAACAGAAGATATTTGGCATCAAAGGTTAGGACATCCTTCATCGGGAATACTTAACCATAATATCCGAGCTTCAGTTCTTGACAAAAACAGTTTACTCTTACCGGATGGAACTGAGATGAAGCCGTCAACAAGACCAGCAGTCTGCACCACGTGCACAACTGCAAATATTCTGCACTAACCCTTTCCAAGTCACTTTCCGGGTTCAACTCCATACACACTTATGCAGAAAGCTTACAGCGACATCCTCAACATACCTGAAGCAGGACCTAAGGGGGAGTTCTCTTTCATAGAGGCTTCTACTCGATATGTTTGGATGGCGGACATACCGGCTTGGCACATGGCTCACTCTATCTTCGTCGCGTGGCTCGCGGTGGCTGAAAGAGAATCGGGGGAGAAGTTACAGGAGTTTCAGAGTGACGGAGCAGGAGAGTACACCAACACAAACTTCACCGACTACCTTCAAACCCTCGGCATCAAGCGCAGAACGTCTCTGCCGTATCAACATCAACAAATGGGGGTAGCAGAAAGGACGAACAGGACATTACAAGAAAAGATGCAAGTCTTGCTGACACAGACAGCATTGCCACCACATTTTTGGACTTACGCTTTGGACCATGCAGTTCTTCTGCACAATTTGCTATCGACAACTTCACTTCCGCAATTTTCTTTGTCACACCTGCAGTGGACAGAAAGCGTCGGCAACACCAAAATTTTAAGAGTTTTTGGGTGCATCGTTCAATATCGACCTCCGACAGCAGCACTCGGAAGAAATTCAGAACGGGCTAAGTGGGGGATACATCTTGGCATCGAGAAGCAGTTTTACACGTGGAAAATTATGGATCTTTGCACGAGTCAAATCGTGCTAGCACGTGATTGTCTTTTCTACGAACGACTCACCTTACCTGTTTTTCGTGCTCACCAGGCTGCAGCTGCCAATCCTAGCAGGCTATTCGAAGGATCGCGTGCCTTCGCTTCCGACGACGCCGAAGCAGATGTACAGGATGAGTCCGTGGCTGAGTCCTGCGAAGCTGCGACAGACATCCCCGTGCCAACCACGTCAGCCGGAACTGCTGAATTTATCCCACTCAACGAAGCAGACTCAGAGGATGTTCGCGATGTGGTTCTTGATTATGAACGCGATCGTCAGCAGCAGCCCATGCCAGTTGTCTCTGAAGCAGCAATCCGTGTAACACCTGAAGAAGTTGGGGGGGAACAGGGATCAGAACACAACTTCTCCGGTGTCAACTCAAATCGTCCGCGTTTTACAGAGACTGGTTTACAAGTATTGGGACTTGCAGTCGCAGTACAGTCAAACAGCAGTAATATTTTGGAGCCGAAAACAATTCGTCAAGCTTTGACAAGTCAACACCGAGAGAAATGGCGCGAAGCCATGGACCGAGAGTTAGCAGCTCTCAAAAACAGAGGTACCTGGGATTTAATCCCGCTGACAGCAACAAAGGGGAGTAGAGTTCTTACCGGAAAATGGGTTTTCCGCGTGAAGACAAATGCCGATGGTTCCTTCGAAAAGTTCAAGGCGCGATGGGTCATCCGCGGCTTCGAGAAAACATTTGGACTCGACTACGAATTAAATTTCGCTCCCGTCGGCTGACACACTAGTGTCAGAATTCTCCTCTGCATCGCGGCCTACCGGAATTTCAGACTTCGACAAATCGACGTCGCAAATGCATTTTTATATGCACCCGTCGACGCTTTAATTCTGATTGAGTACCCACATTCCTACGATACTAATCCTCCCAGCGTGTGTCATCTCAGAAAATCTCTCTACGGCATCAAACAGGCTCCACGACTGTGGCAGCAGTATCTACATCGACAGGTGTTAACTGTCGGGTTTCGTCAGCTTCCACACGACCATGGAATGTACCTGCTTACCGATGGTACTGACTACATTCTACTTGTCGCCTACGTCAACGACTTACTTTATATCAGCACTACGGATTCTCTCGCTACTATCTTCCAACAGAAACTCCAACAAAATGTACAGATTACTATCGCTCCTACAGTCACACAGTTTCTCGGACTTAACATCCACCAAACAGCAATTGGGTTGTCTTCTATTCGCAGCTGTAACGTGTCGTCTGGATCTCGCCTATGCCGCTAGCCAGCTCGCGCAATTTCTGTGTCGACCTGAGGGGGAGAATCGGCTAGATCTTCTTCGCGCTCTACAGTATTTCATTTCGACACCTGAAGTCGGACTTACCTACCAAGTTACTACTACGAAAACCTCTTATCTTAACGGGTACGTCGATGCTGATCATGCAGCAGATACTAATAATCGTCGATCGCGCACCGGATTCATCTATCGTCTCGAACCTATTGGAACTATCTCGTGGAATTCTACAAAGCAAGAGCTAGTAGCTCTTTCATCCGCTGAAGCCGAGTTTATAGCTGCCTGCACAGCTACTCGCGAAGGTCTCTATCTGCAAGAACTACTGGAGGAAGCGAAATTAACGACAAGTACACATTTCACCCTGCAGTGCGACAATCAAAGTGCGATCAGAATTGCGCATCAACCTGGTTTCGCCAACAGGATGAAACATATTTCGCTGCGGTTCTTTTTCGTCAAAGATGAAGTCGAGAAGGGCAGAATGCGATTGGTCTACTCTTTGACCAATGAAATGGCTGCAGATTTTCTCACCAAGAAGCTGACACATCAGAAGTTCCAATACTGCAACGAGCTCTGCGGAATTATCAAGAAGTGACACTATCGGACTTCCAGAAATGAAGGGGAGTGTTGTAATAAAGTTGTACTTAAGCATTCCTGTAAGTAGTTCCGATAGATATTGTCAAGTTACACTGTAGTTAGCATCCGTAGAATGATGTCAGCAAATAGCGCTTGTCTGGATGATTACGTCAGCAAGCCGTTTCAGTCATGCGAACAGTCGCGCTCTTTTCAGTAGCAATTAGAGCGCATAGCGCAAATAGCTCAAACAAGTACATCACCGAATAGGTACTTCTAGCAGATATAAAAGTAGCTTGTACAACTTCAATTGTTAACTTGTTCTTCAATAAATTCTGGTCAACACTTTACAAGTTCTAAGACTTCCGCTGCTTTACACTGAGGGAAAAAACCGTCCGGATGTTTGGCACGAAGTTGGGTTTTTAGGCTTTAAGACTACTGTATGGTAAATTTGCAAGATGCATGGTGGTACGCGTTGGGAGAGGCACAAAGTGGATGCGTTCACAGCACTAAGAACTAGAATAGTACATTGGATCCAACTCATATTCCAAAAGATATACAACGAGTACATCCGGACAGTTTTTTCCCAGGACAAAGAGCAAACTTCCGAACAACGTTTCTAGTACCTAGTCCACCTACTCTTGGCGTTGATCACCATCCGCACCCTCCTAGGCATGTTATCTATGGGGTTAGTGCAGACCTTTGCATGAAGCTTCTCGCACTCTTCCTGGACCCACCATTTTGCATAAGGGGGTGAGCACAAGGAAAATTGCAAAGTATTTGAGCGTATGCATAAGTACTAGTCTACCATTCCAGCAAAGATCCTTGGTTAAGTCTTGAAGTATCGCAAGGCTGTAACACTAACTTGTTACAACTTGTTAATACTGGCTGTTACTGGTGGTACTTCCAGTATTACTTTCTACTTCAAGTACTTGTGTTTGCAGATTCTATACTTAGTCTCCTGCACCACTGTTTGAATTCCTTCAAGAAACACGCGGACAGAAAAAGTCACACCTCGTTCTCGACCTTCCCACAAGCAGCGCAGGCTCAAAACGCGCAAAACAAATAATTTGGAAAACCCTTTTCGTGGACTCACGAAAAGGGCTAAACGGAACGAAAATTTGACGACTTAATTGAGCGGTTTCGTTAACCAACCACACGTTTTTACGAAAGCGAAAAATACCCCCTTGAGAAAATCATTTTCGAAATGTGCATTTGTTAATGGTGATTGAGGGAACGAGGGTCATGTTTTCGTATTCGGGACGGACCTGTTCGTGTCACGCGGGAAGCCTGAATATTTACGTGATTTGTTCAATAAAATGGAAAACGCCTCGAATGCGCTTGACACGAGGATTAGAATAGGACCGTAATCGTACGACAGAATGGATGAAAATGTTTGCACAGTACACGTGCCTGCGTACAGCTTGTTGATTTTCCTACTGGCGATATTTTATTGGTCGTTGGGTCACCATCTAGATTGCGACCCCAATTTATTGTAACTGAGTGGCATACATGGCGGTATTGGACTTCGCGAAAATAATATGCGAATTTCGTCCAGCCACTCTCAAATCGCAAGGAGCCTCGTCAGAAACCTCATTGGCAGACGGGGCATTTTGCGATGTTGACCGTACGCACTACAGTAGTTGTACTCCGCACGATCGGAGTATAGCGTGTGTTAGCATGATAGAATGACTACAATGAGAGAGTACAAGGGAATATAGGCTAGTGTGTTGTACCCTCTAAGGCACAAACCTATACAGTCTACAATGACATACTAAGTTATGTTTGACACACCCCCTAGACTGGATAGGGGCAGTGCCTGATGAGAGACAAGCAGCTCAGGGTAACACTACTAGTCCAACCTCTCAGACAAGGGTCTGAAGACCAGTCAAACAAGTACAGACAAGGCACGAGCAAAACCAGGGCGGCACTACTAGTCCAGCCATTGGGAAGAGGCCATAAGGCCAGTCAGGGTAATATATATCTAAAAATGTCTGTACACAATCAAGGTCCTAGCAGATGAGAGGCTACAGGATCAAGACCAAGCTGTACACAGTGCCGCTGATGATCTTTTGGCGCGAGCGCCTTCGTAAAGATATCAGCCATGTTGGCACCGGAGGCCAAGTGTACTACGCGTGCCTGGCGGCGCTGCTATAGCTCGCGCAGAAGGAAGTACCCCATGCCCGATGTACTCGCAAGATAACGCATAACCCTCTTAGCGGCCGACCACTGCTGTGGTCGGTGTCTGCCTGTGGCCACGAAGCGAGCCAGGATGCTGAGAGAGTATGCGAGATCTGGGCGAATGCAAGTCATCAGGTACATGAGGCAACCCACCAACTCAACATAACGACCACTGGACTCTGCTGACTCCTTAGAAACAGGAGATGAGAGCATGTGGTCTACTGGCAGAGGTGTGGGCTGTGCGGAGGAGAACTGAAGACCGAACCGCTGAAGGACCTGGCGCACCAAGTGTGACTATGTGAGAGTGATGGTGCGCGCTGCTCTGTCCCTGGAGATCTGCAGGCCAAGGTAGTGGCGCAGTTCTCCTAGGTCAGTGCAGGTGTGTCTCTTCAGCAGCTCTGCCTTCACAAAGGCCAGCGCGTCCTTGTCTGTAGTAGCGAAGACCAGGTCGTCTATGTAAACAAGGATGTAGAACGGGGTCGGGCCAGCACGAACGAAGAGCGAGGGGTCAGCCGAGGACGGAAAGAACTGCAGGTCAGCTAGGGTAGCGCGTAGCGTGTCGTGCCACTCACGGGGCGCCTGTCGCAGGCCGTAGATAGGGCGCCGTAGGAGCCACTG